GTGTACCAGTATCACAACATCAATATTGTAACTTATTTGTAACATTTGAACTTTAAGTCAATGCAATATTTCATAGCAGGCTACTGAGTTTGTCTTCAATTCCTAGATTATAATTTGATTTCTAGGATCTGAGAGTTCGGGATGATTGTTGGTAACTGAGAAGCTCGGCCGGATGGGATGGGGCTACACCGTTTAATGTTTTAAGTCTTCAGATGGATTCTGTCCTGCACCGGTAACCAATGAAGAGAAGCTAGGACTGGGAGATGCTTTCCCTCCTCCTATGCCAGTCAGCAACCGCAAGCCGTACGAGAAAGATTGATTGAGACCCATCCAAAGTGCATCGCAATAGTCTAGTCTGGAGGAAATGAATGCATGGATAACAGTCTCCATATCCTTAAATGAGAGCATAGGCTTTAATTTGGCTATTTGCCTTAACTGAAAGAAGCGGCTCTTCACCACTGCATTTGATACCATCTAATCTGTATCAAAGATCACACCCAAGTTTTTAGCAAAAGGATGAATATTTGAAGATCTAGATTACTAGAAATGTCAGAGACAGCACCAGGAGGCCCAAAGGCAACAATCTCAGTTTTGCTCTGATTTAACTGGAGAAGGTTTCTTGCCGTCCGGCATGTGATATCTTTAAAACCCTTGAGAAGTTCATAATAGGAGTTCTCAGAACTGAGAGGGATGTAAGTCTGAGTGTCGTCAGCATAGCGATGATAGGAAATATTATATTGCCTCATGACAGGACCCAAGGGGAGCATATGCAAACAGAATAAAATAGGACCCAAAAGAGACCCCTGAGGTACCCCACACGTGAATGGTGCCAAAGGAGAGGACGAGTTTCCAATCACCTTCACTGATCTTTACTGAAAAGAGTCAATTCTATATCAGAACTCAATTCAAGCTTGTAGAAATTAAAGTTTGAGCTTATACGTATATTTTACTTGGAATTGTTTGTTATGTTTAGAAGGATTCTTTGAGTAGACAGATCTGCCGAATGCATGAATGTGTCTATTGGAGTTCTGGTCTCTAGATTTGCAGTAATGAAGTGAAGCGCTGACTTTCACAC